GTATAAAGGAAAGAGAAGCCCTATCATCCTCATATGTGGCAAGAGGGTTTCACCAAGCCATCACTTACTGTGTGACCCACATTTGTCCTTTGCCTATTGCCACTTTCCCAATCTCTAGTCCTTATCAAAACCTATTCAGACATTAGGAACTAGCAGGAGTTCTGTGTCCATGAAGCCTGCATGGCTGAGAGGTACCAGGCTGCATTTTCCTGACATCCAAGTTTTCTCTTCTTTGTCCGGGACATATTTTAGACCAACCCCATGAAATGATTCCAAAATCTGCCATTTCTTTAGACATACCACTCTCTTTACTTCTAAAACTTAGTCCATGATTTAAGAAGGTTTTTTTCCCTCTTTTTTTTTTGTACATTGTCAATGAAAATGTTTCATGTTTTTTCTTCCAAGTGTAATTAATCTCATCAACTCACATGATAATTTAATTACGTTTTTTTTTATTGTTGGGGATTCATTGAGGGTACAAGAAACCAGGTTACACTGATTGCATTTGTTAGATAAAGTCCCTCTTATACTTGTGTCTTGCCCCCAAAAGGTATGTCACACAATGAGAACCCCACCCTCGTTCTCCCTTTTTCCTTTCTGCTCTTCCTTCTCTCACCCCTCCTTCCTTCCCACTCTCTGCTCTTCCTTTCCTTCACCCCCTCCCTCCTTCTTTCTCCTTCTGCTCTCCCCTTCCCCCACTCCCACCATGTACTAGGTCATTAATTGTCCTCATATCAAAATTGAGTACATAGGATTCATGCTTCTCCATTCTTGTGATGCTTTACTAAGAATAATGTGCTCCACTTCCATTCAGATTAATACAAAGTATGTAAAATCTCCATCTTTTCAATGGCTGAATAGTATCCCATGGTATACATATACCATAGCTTGTTAATCCATTCCTGGGTTGGTGGGCATTTAGGCTATTTCCACATTTTGACAATTGTAAATTGAGCTGTGATAAACAGTCTAGTGCAAGTGTCCTTGTGGTAAAAGGATTTTTTTCCTTCTGGGTAGATGCCAAATAATGGGATTGCAGGATAAGTGGCAAGTCTAGCTTGAGTTCTTTGAGGTTTCTCCATACTTCCTTCCAGAAAGGTTGTATTAGTTTGCAGTCCTACCAGCAGCGTAAAAGTGTCCATTTCTCTCCACATCCATGCCAGCATCTGTAGTTTTGAGATTTTGTGATGTGGACCATTCTTGTTATGGTTAGATGATATCTCAGGGTGGTTTTGATTTGCATTTCTCTAATCATTAGGGACGATGAGCATTTTTTCATATGTTTGTTAGCCATTTGTCTGTCTTCTTTAGAGAAGGTTCTATTCGTGTCTCTTGCCCATTGATATATGGGATTATTGGCTTTTTTCATGTGGATTAATTTGAGTTCTGTATAAATCCTAGCTATCAAGCTTTAATCTGATTCAAAATATGCAAATATCCTTTCTCACTGAGTAGGTTGTCTATTTACTTTGGTTGTTGTCTCCTTAGCTGTACAGAAGCTTTCCAGTTTAATGAAGTGCCACTTGTTTATTTTTGTTGTTGCAATTGCTATGGAAGTCGTCTTCATAAAGTCTTTCCCCAGGCTGATATCTTCTAGTGTTTTTCCTATGCTTTCTTTGAGGTTTTTT